CCTGCCTGTTCACCCAGCCCCAGTGTCCTGGGTTTTTTTAAGCCCTGCACTCTGGCTGCTGCAGTAGCCTCGGGGCTTCTGGGAGCATGGCAGAGCCCCCCCTGCGCAGTGCAGAGCAGTGAGGGGGGCAGTAGGGATTGCCCCCTGCCTGGCAGGAGCTGGTGAGTGCAGGGTTTTTGTTTTTTTTGTTTTTTTTTTTAAAGAGCTGGGATGCTGGGGCCAGGTGGAGCATCCATTGACAGGGCTGGGAGAGCGGGCAGGGGGTGGAGCCTGTTTGATTTGGAGATCTGGCCGACCTTCAGCAGCAGCCGAATCTCCAAATCAGTTTTGGCTGAATCGATTTGGGGCAGTGACTTGAATCGCTGTCCCCTAAATCAGCCAAATTTGAATAGAAGTGAATACTAGCTACTTTGCACAGGCCTAATGAGCAATTAGTAGCCTAAAAGGTAAAAATTAAGTAGGCAGAAAGCAGGGCAGAAAATGACTGATTTCAGAGGCACAAACTCTTGTAGATAATGGCATACTTCATCAGATGCTATGAATGGATTACTTCAAAAAGGTAATGCAACATGTTTTCTAGTGTACAGTAAAAGCTGAGTTATCTGGCACCTTACAAGCCTACATGCTGTATTAACGGGCATGCCGGCTTGTAAGGTAAAAGCGAAATTAGAAGTGTCTACTGTGGCACTTCTGGTTTCGCTGAGCCCCCATGGCCCAGGGCAAAGTAGCCTCCCTGTCCTGCGGGGCCTGCAGGAGGGGCAGTGGCCCATTATATCCAAGCCTGTTTGGGCCTCTCGGTTAACTGGCGTATTTTGTTATCCAGCACCCCCATGGGGAATTTTTTTTTTATTATGTAGCTTTGGTGCATATTAACACATTCTTGTGTGTGTTGGGGGGGTGGGGTGGGAATTAATCTTATAGAATATAATGCATTGTGCAATCTTTCCTTTTTCCTACTTGTTTTGAAAACTTTAATTTATGCTTTTTGTCATTTTCAAGAGCATCTGTAACCTTTAGAGGTAAAAATTTTAATGTTGAAGCTTTTGACTCCAGGATCTGTAGCTTTTTAAAAGAAAAAATATAATTAAATATGGCAACTGTTGGCAATACTACAGATGTCCTTCTTGCATCTTTTTTCCCCATCTTATTTCAACTCCTAATCGGATCCCATGTTATATGACAGTAGAAAACAGCTGATTATACCACTGGAGATCTTATGCAGGGATTAGGGTCTCATAATACAATCAGCATTTGTGAACCCAGTACTAAACACTGCACTTTTTGTGAGAGGCGAACAAAAAACATGGAGAGGAGGGTATGCAAGAGTAGTATAGTTTGTCACAGGGGGTCACTGTCCTGATGTGTTGAACATAAATGGAATTTACAAGGTAACTCCCTACTTTACTGTGCATAGGTAAACTTCTGGTTGAATTCACCTAGCTTGTTTTCCTGTCCCACTTCTAACTCTGATTTTTTTTTTTCAATATTTTTTTTCAATATTTCTTTTAACCTTTTCAGTGTTTCATACAAAGGAATTTGTTCAGTGAAGTCACTTAGTTTCTCATCTGCTTGTATATCATTCATTATATCCAAGCCATACTGGATTGTAACAACCATAGAAAATTATTTAACAGACTAGTAAACAAGAAACTTCTCTTCATACTGCCTTGTGTTCTCAAATATTCTTTCTTGTGGATATATAAAGCACCATTTCAGCTATCAAATTATATATACTAAAGAATTAACTGAAAGAGAATTTTACTGGTAGCTGTCAAATATTTTAAAAGACTTATTTTTAAACATCAGTTCTGCATTGTAAAATTAAAAACCCTATGCAATTGCTACATTTTTTCAGCTGTAGTAGATTATTGTATCACACATTTGATGACTTTCTGTATGTTGTAAATCAGAATTAGCTGCTAATTTGTTACGTTATCACATATTATCTATGATTAAGGAAATGGCTTTAAAATGTACTTCATAAATAAACAGGCAAGTTCAATTATTACCGAAAAACATTTGAATAGCTTACCCCTTAAACTAGCTCTACAACCCCAATTTTTAGTAAGTTACTACAAACATTGTGTTTTAATTGAGCCAATTTATTTTCCTAAGCATCTCTTAGAAGGTACAGTTTATTAGCTCTGCAGAAAAGAAGATAGAATTAGGAATAATTGCCTGTCATGTTTAATGGCTGGGAGATGTTTATTAAAAAAAATAGTTGTCAATCATTGGTGGACAGTAGCTGGCATTGGCAATAGTAGAAAATTCTATAGTTAAAAAAATCCTATTTCTAATTGAAGTGCTACAGTATTTTACAACTTTGCTAAAATTTATTATAGTTTGGATGCAATGAAACTTCTTTGCATATTTGAAGAGCCTATCTTAAATGTATCTCATGTTTTTAATGAATTCTGTTTTGTTTGGGATTGAAAATGTAAGATCCTGTAGTATTATTGTATTTCAATCAGGAGTGTCCAACTTAGTGGCCAGAGGGCCTCGTGCATGGGTAGCACCAAGAAGGGCTGTGTGCTGTGGGAGCTGCGCCAGCACGGGTCACGGCTCCCCTGGTCTCAGGTGCACTTCTGCCGTACTGAGCATGTGGATACTCCTCCACATTGGCTCCGTGCACAGGTGCCAGTGACTCAGTCGCACCTTCAGCTCCCTGGGCATGAGCTGCTGTGCTGCACTGCACTCTTTTGGTATCTCATGCCATGGGCTTCCCTGGCACTGCAGGCTGTGCTGCACTGGTCTGCTCCACACCGTGGCCACAGTGGGGTGGAAGCCAGAACCTGTGGTTGCTGCTGCAGCCAGAGTACTTTGTGGAATGGCAGCCAGGTGAGAGCTTGGGGACTGCAAACTGGCCTCTTGTGGGCTACCAGTTGGACAGCAGTGGCTTAGATTGATATCTGTTTTATCAGCCAGATAATTTTGTCTATTTTATGACCTATTCATTCATACACAAAAATAATACTAGCTCTTTCATTGCTGATATGGTAAGTTCCTGCATTAATTGTTGTATTAGAGACGGTCTTGGCATGTATCTTGGGACAGCTGCCTTTTAATAGCAGGTAACAAAATAGCTGAGTATAGTTTGGCATTGTTTTTCATTTTTAGAATTAATCCAAAGATAAAACATGGATAAGCCTGAGGCTTTAAATTTTTTTTTTCATTTTCCCTTAAGTGGTTAATGGTACATTGGAGGTACCATTAAAGGTAGTGATAACCTGGGGCTGAGTTCATCAGAAGTTCCTTCCAAGCTGATAGATTAATGATCCTTTTTACTGAAGCACGTGGCTGGAAATTTAATTATAGTTCTTAGCTTCATGAATAATAGGCGAGTGCAGGAAACTCGTATTCATCTTAAATGTTCTGCATTGTCAGATTCACGGATGGGCTAACTTCCTTCTAAAGAAAACCACAACTTTATATATAGTCTCCCTCAATTACCATGTGAAACAATTGATAGACATTAAGTATTATTCATAAAAGGATGAAATGAGGTAAGTGAGACAGGGTAAGAAACAATAGTTTGAATTAGTCAGACTGAATTTTCATATTGCTCTAGTACCCAGCAGAATGTGATTATAGTGTATTGATGCTAAATGAATACAAATATTAAGTAGTATTGTCTTAAAACAGAGGACTGATGATGAGAACCTGAATTATATTCCTGGACCTATTATACATTTAGACACGGATTCTAATCTGCCTCTAAAATGTCTAAATTGCACTTTTAGATATCTACAAATATCCTTTCAGCGACCATAAAAGCACTAAAATGCATAGACTTATTACATGCCCATATTTTGGACTGAAAAGGTTCCCAGCCACCTACAGTTCTATAGTAGTCTGTGCTCAGAAGCAATCAGGCTGCCCATCTTTGTGTCTGTGTCTAACTTGCATGTAATAATATTTGTTGCAGTCTAGTTCTGTCTAGATTTTCTGTTGCAGTCCAATTCTGCATAAACTGATGACTAAATCCTCGGTTCCTTATGTGGGGGGAAAAAAAAACATGCAAAGTGACGGTACGCATGTACACATGTGGGCTTTAATGTGCAGTAGCCTATCTTACTGTGCCTTGGAACGTCGCAACAAAAGCTGCTACTGTGCAGTAAAATTAGGCTACTGCGCATTAAGTGTTGCTAAAAAAGCATGCGTTTTTGCTACTGCACATTAAGGCAGCCTAATGTGTATTTAGTTAGTACCTCGTATTAGATGTACTAAATGTAATGCTCAGTAATGAAAACGCATAAATGAATGTGTAGCTATACCCTGTTTGAAGCTGAGATCATGCATGCAGCTTAGTGACAGGAGGAGGAAGACTTGCTTATCTTTTTGCCTTGGTAATCTAGTGCAGTGATTCCCAGTCAGGGTGCCATATCGCACAGGGGTGCTGTGAGATCATTTGAGGGGTGCTGCAAGATGTGAGAGGAGGAAACCAGATAAGGGCACCCTTGGGCTTTCCCTGCCTTGTCACTTCCCAGCTCCACTGCCTAGCCTCTTTGCAGGCTGGTAAGCACTATAATAAATTGGCTTTTGAAATGGTGTGTTGCTCAATTCACAGAAGTCACAGAGGAGTGTCTTAATTCTAAAAAGGTTGATGACCACTGGTCTAGTGGTTAAAACATTGTCCAGGAAGTGGGAGACCCGAATTCTAGCCCCTCCTCAGCCTGAGGACACCTGAGCCCATCTCTCTCCCTTGCTAGGTATCTGCCTAGTCTGACCCTCTGTTGGAACAGTGAATTTGTCTTTGTGACATCAGCATTAACTAATTTTAAGTTTTTAATCCTTTAGTGAAGAAGAGGAGGAACTGGCACAGACATGACTACACAGAATATGATGATGGTTCCAAACCAGTCCAAGCTGGAACAGGGACGTTTGTTAAACAACTACAGGCTCGTTCATTCCCAAGGTGTGGAAACTTACTTAGATGTCAGATTGAATGGGCCAAAGCCTTGGGTATTGAATATGTCTGCAAGCCCCATCTCCTTATCAACACTCCAGCCCCATCTGCTTCCCCCTAACCCACCAGCTCCTTTCCTCCCTGAGAATTCAAGTTTTTCCATTTCTTCAGTGTTTCAGATCCATATAAGTACCTCTTAGTCACCATGTTGTAACTCAAATTGCTATGCCCGTGGAGTTGCTACTTCCCACTTATTACTACAAAATTACTGATTTCCTAATGGAATCTATTGACATTGCCTCAAATCACTTAAAAGTCCCTAAATAATTCGCAGTGCAGTTCTTTCAGCATTCTCAGCCTACCTGATTTTGGGGTGGTGGTGGTGGGGGGGAAACGACACTTACATATTATTCCCCAGTTTCTGTCATGATAGCATTTCAGAGAATGATGAAGGAACCAGGCCACAACGTGTTGTTTTTTTGTTTTTTGGTTTTTTTTAATTATCCAGAAGATAATGGTTAGCTACTTCTTTAAAGCATGATATTTTTTTCCTACTGTACTTTTGTGATCATTATCCATAAAACTGCCATTCTTAAATTATCTTAAAGTTGTGACTTTTAATTCTTCTTATATATGAAAGTATTGGCTTTAAATGTGTTGTCCTTTTAAAGTTTTACTACATGTAATCAGTAGGCTTGTCATCCTGTTGAATACTTAATTTTACAAAACTGGATCCATTTATTAGCCTTGTTTAGATTATCTCTGCAACTGAAATGTGAGCTTCTACTTAAGTGAATGTATCTTCTGCTATCTTCTTATTCAAAAAGATGTTGCATTTCAGTGCTAATGCTTTTATTTTTCACCCCCATCAGTGCTGATGAAATCATTTTGAAAATGCATGGCAGCCAACTAACACACCGATACCTGGAGAAACATGGATTTGATGTTCCTATAATGGTTCCTAAACTAGATGGCCTAGGGCTTAGACTTCCTCCTCCTACTTTTTCTGTTTTGGATGTGGAACGCTATGTGGGTAAGGGCCTCTGCAATATGTATAAATGCTCTAAAAATATATTGATTTTAAGTAAAGTGCAAATACTTGCACAAGTGTTAATAGCTTCAGGGATGTCAAATGTATGTGGTCTTAGTTGAACACTACTTGCCAGAAGACCAGCAAAGGATAACATTAAACCTCCAACTTGGATTTGGTTTGTTTGGTATAAATATGATAAAGATGCATTCAGCTCTCAATACTCAGTTTTTCAGTGGATGATACCAAGTAAATGTGCAACATCTGTTCCTTCTACATCATGCCATAAGCACTAGATTATGGTGTTTTTATCTGGATGGTTCTCTTGCTTGGTGAGCAAACAGACCAGTGTTTTTGTACGGGCAATACATTAATTCTTGGGGTGGGGCCAGTCTAAAATTTTAATAGCTTAGGTCCTGGGGCAGTTAGTGTGCAGCAAGCTATAGTGTTGGCCTTACAGGTTGCTCCAAAACTGGTTCCCTGTATGAACATTGCTAATACATACTAAATATGAGAGAGTACTTTACTTATAGGCATAGAGACCCAGTTCTATAACGGGGATCTCAGGACCTCTATACTCCCTGTTGCAGAACCAGGAGCAATGTCTTCCAGGCTCCTGATCAGCCCAGCAGGGGTCCTGGAAACTCTGGCTTTGTTTTCTGCTTTTAGAGGAGTAGACTGTAGAACAGGGGTAGGCAATTATTTGGGCCTACAGGCCACTGGACCCAGCCTGTCTGCCCATGACCTCACCTCAGCCACCGGGCTGAGGACCCAGCCCCCATGGGTCCCACCCCCGTTGATAGATGTGCGGTGGAAAGGACAGGGTGCCCAGGCAGCAGGCCTAGGTTCAGTGGCAGCAGCAGCTGGAAGGAGTTGCTGCCACTGGGGCTGCTGGGAAGTGGAGTCCAGCTGCCACATTGCTCCAGACCCACTGCGCATCTGGGGATGGCGAGATTGGAAGCATGGCTCAGGCTGTACCCCCACCCCTACCCCCAAGTGCCTTAGTGGGCCGGATTTGCCCCATGGGCCGTACTTTTTTACACCCTTGCTCTAGAAGCACCTGATCTTTGCAGCCGAGAAATCCACCAAGAATGTAGTTAACATTTCTTCAGTATTCTTTTTTGGATTTAGTAAAATTTGTTGAACTTGATGCTATATTTGGATGAAACATTTTGGGTTAAGTGAATTGACCCTTTTCCAGTGAAACTTTTTTGTCAGAAATTTCAGTCTAGCTCTGTTCATAATTGTCGTCCTGGATGGGTGGAGAAGGATGGGAGTCAGAAACCCAAAGGGGCTACATCCAAGAGGATTTGCTACTCCATCAGGCCTGCTGGCAGTCCCTGACCTCCAGAATACCACATGAATAGATGGTGAAGGGGTACAATGAGACTGAGCCACCTGCAATCTCGAGTTTACTGTATAATGCGATACTGTTGAGAGCTCTGTGCATGCACTTTATTTTCTTTGCTGATGTGAGGGAGGTAGCATACTGAAGTGAACTAAAAACTAGGACTTTTGCCTCCGTCAGCATTTTATAATGGCTCTTGAATGTAGGAAATATGTAGTGTTAGATGCTGTAACCATACTATAGAGTACAAACGAGCTGTTTGCCTTGATTGACTGCTCAGTAGAATGGTTGGCACTTGATTATTTTGTCATTTGAATGTGGTTGTTAGGTGCCAGAACAACCAAATTTTGGCCTGGCCTGGTCTCAAGTTCAGGTGTGAAATTGTAATGCCCCATATGGTATGTTCCTATTACCACAGCTGTGAAATAGGAAAGCTGTCTAGATATCAAATACTAGAAATTAATTTCAGTGTTTAATTGTTTGTGTGTATGTTTCAAGATTTGTAAGTTACTTGCATTCGGTGCTCTTAATAGTGTTAGTGAATACTTTTCATGTGCAACTGCCTAGGTTGTATCTGTCTTTGGGTAGCGTAACTTATCTTTTTATACCGCTTTCTTGTTAACCCCCTTCACAAGGCTGATTTTATATGCTAGCAGTGACTTCTGCTGAGGATAACGATATAGGAATCCCTTTAGAGTTTACTGTTCCACAATCTGCCACAGGGATTGTTATTGGGATACATTTATATTAATGTTGTTAATATTAATTTAATGTATATTAATGTATTTTGTCTCGACTGAAACTTGATAGTTCCTGACTCTGTCAGTTCTGCAGGTTTGTCATTAAAACTACTTAAACATGGGCCACAAACCTAAGGAAACTTAAATATATGTGTAACTTTTATACATATGAGTAATTTAATTCAGTGGTGTTGCTCAAGTGCTTAAAGTTTCATATATGTGCTTAAGCATATATAGGACAGGGGCCACAAGCTATATTACTTTTTTAAAGAGATGCATTTTTTGAGCTCAAGAACTTGGGTTCTGTGCTGATGACCAACAGACCAATAAATCTGTCTTCGATAACTTCCTCTACCCTTTTTTTCTTTAAGTGACAGAAGCCACAAAATGATATATAAACTAGCCACAGTCATATTAGGCTCTTCCTTTTCCCTTTGGTTTACCGTCAGTGACTTGTTTTAAAAACATCTAGCTTCAGTATATCCTTGAGCCAACAGTAACCATTTAAGTTGGAACTAGATAAGATACGGGGTTTATTCTTATCCGTTTTTAATCTGAATAGATGAGAGTAGTAGAAACTGATTATCGTATCTTGCAAAAAAGTTTAAACATCAGTCTTTTTAAAATGCTAAATGGATTCTTGTCTACAATGAGATTTAAGAGTATTATTTTTACAGGTGGTGACAAAGTGATAGACGTGATTGATGTGGCAAGGCAGGCAGACAGTAAAATGAAGCTTCATAATTATGTTAAGTATTTCATGAACCCTGATCGACCAAAAGTATTAAATGTGATCAGTCTGGAGTTCTCAGACACAAAGTGAGTAAACTATTTTGAAGTCGCTTGACTTGGATTCCTGTGAAGTAAAAAGTGGTTTTCACTAAAGTAAAGTTACATGTAAAAACATAATGCAGTGGTTGGAAAATGGGTAACAAATGTTGGAAGTTAAAAGTGAGTTTGATTTTGGAGACAGTGTGACACCAGGATACAAATAAACATTTTTACAACTTGAAGTTGGTAACCTTGGTTTCAGGAAAGTTTAACATTTTAAAGGTGTCAGTTTTTAGTACTATGTGCTTATTTTGGATTTTACTTCCCTTTTCCTTTTTCTTTTTTTTTTTTTTAGGATGTCTGAATTGGTGGAAGTCCCTGCCATTGCCAGAAAGCTTTCCTGGGTAGAAAACTACTGGCCAGATGATTCTGTCTTCCCTAAGCCTTTTGTTCAAAAATATTGCTTGATGGGAGTCCAGGACAGCTATACTGATTTTCATATAGATTTTGGGGGCACATCAGTTTGGTACCATGTTCTCTGGGTAAGAAGGCTCTTCATTTCTGAGCATTTGGGGGAAAAAAGTGCAGCCCAGCATGTAGCTTTCTGCCATGAAAGAAACCTGTGTTTGGGAATTTCTTTGCATACTTGAGTGAAATTGTTTGTTTGGGAGGCTGGGGGGGGGCAAAGAAGAATTACTGATGATGCCACTATTTTTAAGCATTCTATCTTAGCTGACCTCTAGACTGAAACTAACAGTCTTGGATCATGTTACCAGGCTAATGGGCACTGTACTGATGATCGTTTGATAGAAAAAGATGTTCCATGATCTGTTCCACCCCACTTCTTCCCTGTTTATTCCTCCTCTCTTTTCTGTGGTTATGTGCCTTTTAACATTTTTCATACAACTAAGGATTTTTCACACTCTGCTAGAACTTCTCTTAACGTCATTTTGCAAAACTCTCTGAATTGCAGCACCTATCTAGCAGAGGATGATTGGACACTAATTTCATCCTGAATTATTAAACAGTTCCATAATGTGGCATTGTTTGTTCTGCAAAACCAACAGAGTGGAATAGACTACACACTCAGATTTTGGTGGATTGAGGAGTGAGATATTAGTGTTGAAAAAAACATGCGAGATACTGCAGTGTGTAAAGCTTGTGTCAAAGTGGATAATATTATTATTATAAGGCCACAAGTCCAGCCTAACATTAACGCCACTTATATAAAGGTATCAGAAGTTTATGCTATACCTCACATGAACTATTTTGTCAATAGGGTGAAAAGATCTTTTACTTGATCAAACCTACGGATGAAAATCTGGCTATTTATGAATCTTGGAGTTCATCAGTCACTCAGAGTGAAGTATATTTTGGGAACAAGGTGGACAAATGCTACAAATGTGTGGTAAAGCAAGGACACACTTTATTTGTTCCAACAGGTAAGATTTTTATTGCTTTATTTCAGAACTTGGTATTGTTCTATATTTCCTTTTATATTTTTATCTGCAGCGAATTCACGATATCATAAGAGATGCATTATACGTTCAATATTTAGAAGTTATCCTAATATTTTAAAGAATCAGTTATCCTATTTATTCAAATCCAAGATGTGTCTGTCTTCCCCCATTTAATGCTGAGGGGTTGGAGGTGGAACCCTTTGGTCTTGGATTAGAGTATGAGGTGGTGGAGTGGCAGGCAGATGCTCCACAGCCACACTGCTTCTGCCTCCAAGTCCTACTCCCCCACCATCTTCAGCTTGCCTGTTTCCCCTACTACCTTCCCACTGCCACTGCTTTCCCTGCTGTAATGGTGGGGGATGAATTTTAAGATGGCTGTCCACTAATTAGATTCTGTACATCAGTGGTCACCAACCAGTGGATCTCGATCCACTAGTAGGTCTCAGAGCCTCTTGTGATAGATCTCGGGCTGGGGTGGGGGTCTGAGTGCCCATGTGCATGCACGTGCTCCAGCCCAGCGGGTCAGCCCATGGGGGAGGGAAGGGGCGGGGGCTACATCAAGGCCTCCATGGTCAGGGACAGTGCCGCAGGGGCAAATTGAGTGGGGCCCTGCTGAGTACGACTGACCTGCTGGGGAGGTGTGCCCCCAAATAACTTTTTCTCCCTCTGCCTTGATCTGCCCCCCCCATCCCTTTTCTTCCCCACAGACTAACCTGGTGGGCCGGGGGTGGTGGCAGTGCACAGTAGATCTTGGGTTGCTTTTAAATGCCAAAGGTGATCTCCTGTTTTAAAAAGGTTGGAGTTTACTGCTCTACATGGAAAATTATAACACAGTTATATATTTTCTCTGTCTGCAATCTAATTACTGAGGGGTTGTCTTAAATTCAAGGTTGTCATTGATTCGGGTAAATATGGTAAATTAAAAAAAAATGTATTTGAACTACATAGTCTGAAAAGGCAGAATATTAGCTCTTAATCTTAAAGAATATGTAGTCTCTTAAGAAAATGTACATAATTTGCTTTATGCTTTTGTTACTTGGTTAATTGTGATGGTGGCAGGAGACCTGACAACAGCAAGTTTAATTTGGGAGTGGGGGAAATGAGTAACGTTTTCCACTCCATACAGAGTACATCGTCCATCACGTATGCATTTGGAAAGTTTCCCAAAATTGAATTCTTATGTTGTAAGAAATCACTGCTGTATTATCAAATTTAACTTACTGTTTAAGCGGATCTTGAGACCTGTGTACCCAGCTTCTGTTCCATAACCAAAATAACACTGTATAAGTAGTGCTGTCGGTATTGTATAGCATAGAGGTCATTCAGAATATTTTTAGGATTGCTAGTGTTCTTCTGCATTAGTTGTCCATGCACATACATGTTCAGCATCATTGAAGTTCTCCCAAAAAATAATGAAAAGGTGACTAAACTGGGTTTGAATTTACTTTTCTGTTTGCAGCAGGAGGATGCCTGTAGAAATAGGCCAGGAATTGGCAACCTGTGGCACGTGTGCCAGAGCATGGTACATGACGCCCTTTTGCTTGGCATGTCACAGCCCGCCCAGGCTCTGGGCATCTGCTTCTAGCCATGGGGTCTGGGCTGCCTGCAGTCTTCTGGTCACCTGCCGTGAGCAGCCCAGGCACGCAACCCTGGCCCTGCTGCCATCTGCTTGGCAGGTGCGTGCGCACCTCCATCACCATAGTGCCCCACCAAGGCTCTGGAGCCCGATTTCAGCTGTTTGCAGCCTCCCAGCTGCCTGCCACAGCTGGCTCAGGCTTTGGGCAGCTACAGCAGGTGGTGGGTAGGCTGCCAGTAGCTGTACTGAGCTCCAGAGCCCTGGCACTGGCTTCATGTTGGCAGGAGCAGCACAAGCATTTCAGGGCAAAAGGCAGGGAAGGGGCTGGGGCATCACTGCCCCGGCCTCTCCTCTGCCATCTGCCCAGAGGTGTGTGCAGCTGCCGCCAACAACAAGGACAGACCCCTTGCTGCTTTGCTGCCGTCTGCCCCTGGCATGCCAAGTCAAGGCATGGGTCGAGGTTGGGGTGTTTTTGGCACTCTGGCTAAAAACATTGCTGATCCCTGAAATTGGCTTTAGCTGGCATAAATGTTCATAGCCTGTGTACTTTTGTTTCTCCTGCTTGAATACTGTAGGTTCCTCTTATTCCCTTCTCTTGTGCCCTTTTTGTCAAAGTATAAGATCAGCTAATGGCTGGAGGTTAGAGTTAGGAAAGTTTAGATTAGAAACAAGGAGCACATCTCTAACAGTAAGTCTTTGAAGATGCATATCCAGGATTTTTTGGATAAGGTGTCACTAGAAATGTGTTTAAGATTTGGATTTTTTTTCTAGATGTTTTTTAAGCTCTGATTTCAAGTATAGCTATTGAACTTGAAATGGGAACTGATAGATGGAAGTTGAACGGCCTGTGTTCTATTGGAGGCCAGGGTAGAATATTGCAATGGTCCCCCTTGGTCTTCAGGTGAATTAATTTGGCATCTAGCATGGGGCTTGTCAACCCTTATTAGCCAATTGCTGGCAGGACCTGCCATATACTTCAAGTAATTCCTCAGAACCTCAAGTTTGTATAAGTTTCGCATGATAATTCTAAGTTCATTTAAACATTTTTTTCAGTGTGTTGTTAACGACCTAATCTTTTTTATGTGAAATCTAGATTTTTCATTCACAGGATTGTAGAAAAGTAGGGCTGGAAGGACCTCGGGGGGTCTAGTCCAACTGCTTGAGGCAGAATCATCCCTGATTTTAATAATCTCAGACAAGTGTTTGCCTAATGTGTTCTTAAACTTAACAAGATTTGGAGATTCCGCTACCTCGAGGAAGCCTGTTCTTAAATGTTAGAAAGTTCTTCCTGATATAGAACCTAAATTTCCCATGCTGCAATTTTAAGACCATTGTTCCTTGTTCTGTCCCATGTGGCCAAAAGGAATGGTTTATCTTCACTTTTTTTAGAGCTATCCTTCAGGTATTTTGAAGATTTATCAAATTCCCCCTCAGTCTTTCTCTAACTAAATAATCCCAGATATTTTAGCCTTTTATCATAAGTCCAGATCCAGACCTGAGGAAGAACACACTGTTGCAGAGCTTGTTTAATATCTTTCACAAGTATACTGTTGGTCCATTAGGTGAGATCCAGAAAAAATCCTTGTCTCATATTTTTCCTGGACCATCACAGCTATAAACCAATACTCCCAGTGTGCTCATAAGCATGGATCCAGGTTTTCCATTTGCCATGGAAAACCAGCATATCAGGGTCACAAAGTTGTGGGAGGGACAGCCACAGCTGCACTCGGGTTCTGCTGAGGTGAAGGGAGCAAGGGGAGCCCTGATTTTCGATGATTGATTTTAAAAAAAAAAACAAAAAAACCCCAAAACAAAATCAACTGCCAGAATTTATAGGCATTTAGAATTTTTTTATTACAATTATTGAGACACTGGTAGGCATCCAAACTGTAAATGTGTCAATAAAATGTTATATTCAACTGATACCTATATATAGTTGCGTTTCATTTTAGTTGCAGAAACATGTGGATTTTTGGGGGGTTTTATCGGAGGATTTTGGATTTTTAAGCCAAAAACCGGGATCCCTGCTCATAAGTAATAGGTCTGTTTCCCAGACCTTGAATCACTTTTGTGCTCTCCACTGGACTCTTCAAGAAATATATGGACAAGTTAGAAAGTGTGGTGTCCAAAGCTGCCCATATTACTCCAGGCAAAGCCTCACTGGTGCAGCAGAATCCCTTCTCTTGACTTGCACCCAGTGATCATTAATACAGCTCAGTGTGCTGTTGGCTTTCTGCAACAAGAAGTCTTTTGATGGTTCATATTCCACTTACCATCCACTGTAACCCCAAGTCCATTTTTTTCAGTAATGCAACCTAGCCAGTCATTCATTCAATTTCAGACTACTCTTCAACTTGGTCAAAGTCTTTTGGCACCCTGACCCTACCCTCTAGTGTGTCTGCAAGTCCACTCAACTTGGTGTTGTCTGCAGGCTTGCTAAGTGTGTACTCAATCCCATCCTCCAAATTGTTAAAGACATTAAACAATACTGGGCCCAGAGCAAGTCCCTGGGGAACTCTATTTGATGACCCTTCCCAGCTAGAAATTGAGCCACTGGCTATTTTTTGGGCATGATGATCCAACTAGTTACAGTACTTTCTCAATAGCAAGCTAAGGATATACAACCTAAAGCAGGGGTGGGCAATTATTTTGGGTGGAGGGCCACTTAAGTTCTGGTGAGCTATTGAGAGCTGCATGGGTAGTCTGCCCCTTGACAGTTGCCCTGCTCCCTTGTTGTTATCTTGGGACTGGAAGTCCTTCCCCTTGGGGGGGGCCCAAATACTCCTTTTGTGGGGGGTTGCCATCTTAGAACCAGGGAAAAAACCAAATCGTACACTAGAAGTCAAACACCTACTAGAACATTTTTTTATTTTATTTTATTACAGAAAATATTTTTGTCATTATTTGTGTTTGCATACTGTGTATAGAGTTGATTGCATAATAACTTAAAAATAAATCCTTAGTTTTGTATATTGTGTGTGTATGTGTGGGGGCAGGGTGTGGGTGTGAGGAAGGTTGGGGGTGTGTGGGGACCCCCCTACATGTCCCACATGGTGCAGCAGCTGGGCACAGGTGCCCAGCGGGGTGTGCCTGCGGCCAACACAGCACATCGCAGCAAGGGGTGCAGCCTCCCCTGGGCTGTCTATATTGGCAGTGCTCCCTGCTAGCACAGCACAAGAGGGAAGCTCTGCAGGCTGGAGCCCATTGCCTTCACCACCGGGGCTGCGCTACAGAGGAAGGAAGCCCCAGGTACCTTTCCCTAGCGGGTGGGGAAGGCAGGCAGCTCCAGCCCATGGAGCTTCTCTCCTGTGCTGTGCAGCCCTGGCAGGGAAGGCACCTGGCTCCAGCATGTGGGGTTTTCCTCCCATGCTGTGCGTGTGGCGGAGAGCATCAGCAATACAGGCAGCCTGGGGGAGGCTGCATGCCTTGCAGCACTGGCTGGAATTGTGCCCCGTTGGGCACCTGTGCCCTCCCTGCTGCTGCTGGTGCTGCCACTGCCTGCTGGGGCTGCATTCTATGGGTGACTGTGGGAGGGTCCCTACAGCCGCCCACCCTAGCTCTGCGCTGCTGCCAGCCCCAGCTCCATGCTCTGGGCTTCCTCCCAGCTGCGGCCTCATCCCTGCTGCTTCCCTACCTGCTGCCCAGAGCCAGCGGGAGACCTGGGAAGTGGAGCAGGTCCCTGGGGTCTGCAGCAGCAGCTCCATCCGGAAGCTGCGTGCTGGCTGAGCCGGCCCTTCTGCCCACAAGGGTGGGAATAAGGCCAATAGGATATGTTTGGGGGGAGATGTGCACATGGGCGCCTTGCTCCCACCCTCGTGGCCAGAAGGGCTGGGCAGGGCACAACTCATTGGGTGCTTGGCAGGCTGTATTTTGCCCACCCCTGACCTAGAAGAATGTCATAGGAAAAAATGTCAAAAGCCTTGCTGAAATCAAGATGCATCACATCCACTACTTTTCCCCCATCCATAGAGCTTGTCCCCTTGGTATAGAAGAAAATCAGCTGGTTCAGGGGTGGCTTTTATTTTTGATGAATCCATATTGGTTATTCCTCGTTACCTTATTCTCCTTCAGGTGCTTAGAAATAGATTCCTTGATGATCTGCTCCATGAGGTGCTTGGGTATGAGGTCAGACTGACCTTTCTTCTGGGAGGCTAGAGTCATTTGAATATAGTCTTAAAAATACTTGTACAAGGAGTGCATTCTTCCAGTGGTATTACAAATGGGTGTAATGAGTATAATTTAAAAGTTTGGGGTTTAACATAATTAGTTTTAATGGACTGTTTAGAGTGGTGGCATTGGTATAATCAATGGACTTGCTTCATTCTTACGTGAATATCTTTAGTAGTGCTGTACCAAACTTGTTTACACCTTGGACAGATGCTTCTATCTGAAAGTTGTATTTCTAGGTGTCAATTGTAACAACAGTAATTGAAAGAGGTTTTTTTTCTTTAAATTGCATTTGCTTTGTACATCAATTTAAAGTCAATTTCCCTTTAGTTTTGTGGCTTTTTTACAAAGTAGCAGAAAGGGAAATTTTGCTTTAGTAGTAATGTGATCTTAAAATTAAAGAAATCCTTAGGGTAGATGTATACGCTATTGAAATTACTTCTAACTTCTCTCTTTTTTTTTGTTTGTTTGTTTGTGTAAAAAGAAAGGAAAATGGGCTGGGGAAGGGCAAAGTAGATCTTTAGACTGACATTGTCTCTCTTCCTTGCATTTTGGTGAACATTTTTTCCTCGGTGGCTCTGAATAACCAGATTTGTAAATCCATCCCTTCTACTCCTTCTGATCAATGTATAACATTTTGTAGTGTGTGCATGTTAAGTTTTCTGTTTTTATAATTTCAGGGTGGATTCATGCTGTGCTCACATCTCAGGATTGTATGGCTTTTGGAGGAAACTTTTTGCACAACCTCAATATTGGCATGCAGCTCAGGTTTGTCTTAACTCTCTCTCTCTTTTGACTATACTCTTCCCTCTAAGTAGGAAATTCTTTTTGTTAGGTTTTTCATTGTGCTTTTTGTATGATGTCAGATAGTTACGGGCTTTGATAATGACAAGACTGACTTTTTTTTTTTCTTAGCTTGAATCAGGACTAGATTTTTGTAAGCTGCTTCTACAAGAGCTGTCTTCAAAGCAAAATAAATGTTTTGCACACATTTAATTGTATCATAAAATCAGACATGCTGTAATTTGGAGATTACTGCAAAAGAGGTAAACTAAAAATGGTGAAGCCTGGCTGTGTAATACAAAACTGAAAAGAGGGATGTTAAGTCAGGAATGCCCTGAAGGCACATGTATTTGTTGTTGTCCAACATATGGAGCTGTCTTTACCATTTTTATTCATTAGAGTGGAATCCTGATCAAATGCTATTTAAAAAAAAACACCAACCACATTGGATTTGTATCCTAGTTTTATGATGTCTTAACTTTTTTTATGGTTCCTGTACTTGTTTTGCATGATATGGTGACTTTTTTCGCTCTCTAAATCTTGTATCAATTGGGTAATACATTGGGTGATTCTAAAAGTACAAATAGAATAATCTTAAATTTATTTATTTAGGTGTTATGAAATGGAGAAAAGGCTAAAAACCCCAGATCTTTTCAAATTCCCTTTCTTTGAAGCCATCTGTTGGTTTGTGGCTAAAAACTTACTGGAAACTTTGAAAGGTAATTCACTTGTTTTGATAAGATTTTGGTTGTTTGGTTGTTTTCACTTTGAAAGGTCCAGGTTCCCAATCTCATGATCAATGTGCAATTTCTGGAAGTTTTCTAAGAGAAGTTGGCTTTAATCCTTAATTGGGGAAAGCCAGTGCAGTATCTTTGCCAAATCAAAGAGATTTTGGTAAACACTACACTGTTACCATTTTTTATTTATTCTTCTTTTTAATAAATCATGATTATGAAATTACTTTGAAACGTAATGGTGTCTGGTAGAACTCTCAACTTGCAAAGTTGAAGACTGTCTAGTGATAACTCGCATGTTTTTAGGTATATGAATCAAAACTTGAAAATTGTTTTCAGATGCAGACAGTGAAAATATTTTTTTCTTAGAGCATTCAGTTTGAATACCCTGGGTAACTAAGATATTAGGACAGTTCAACCTCTCTTGGATAGCTTGACCTTTTATTCTTCTTACCACTAGACTTCTGTTGATGGGGATGCAAGTACTGTTTTAAAAGATGAAAGTCATAGATGGCAATTTCCTTTAGATGCTGTGGGTTCACCATCGCTTTCCACCTGAAGGGGAGAGGGAGACTTAATTCTGCTTGGGAATAAAGCCGGATAATCGGGTCATCTTTTCCTCCAAATGAAAATAATGTTAGTTGAACCTTTATATGTTCCCTTTTCAACTGAACAGGGCTATTTTGATGTGAAAATGATACAGTCATTCCTTATCAGATTCTTTGGAGGTTCCAGTTGATTCATTCTTGAAAGAAAGTCTTAGAACATGTCCAAAAAATTGTATCAAATCTAGGACAGATTACTTTTTAAAATTTGGTTCATCATTCTGGAACTTCAGTTTTGACTGGTCTGATGCTAAGATTTAAAATCTTCAAAAGTACCTAAATGAAATCCCAGTGAAAGTAAGTGGGATTTAGGCTTTTAAACTTTTGAGGAGCATTGAACTGGTAGGGGCCTCCTGGGCCAGAGTCCAGTCTGTTGTGATTGCAGGTAATTGTTGACTGAAGGAATCCCTAAAAAGTCTTATGCACATTCAAAAATTTTACTTAAGATCTTGATCCTAGTTGATGGAATAGGAGCTCCAGGAACTGAGGATTGCAAGCTTGAGGACTATATTTAAAGAGGAATCCAGAATCCTTCTCCTGTACTCTGTATTGAAGTGGCAAATGTTCTTAACTCATATTGCCCTCACTTGCTCGTTTTTTTTTTTCTTTTTGCGGAAGAGCAGCTATAGAGAGTGGAAGAAGGGTGAGGGGGGACAGGACATGGATAGGGACAGACGCTTCTCTTTCAGTAGAAAGTAATGTTCTATCTATAATGTTATTTATGGAACTAAGTTTTTATCAAACCTGTTTTCTGTAGCACAAGTTAATATGACAGTTGGGTTTTGCTTGCCTGTTCCAGGAACAGCCTTGTTCGAGCCTCCTTAAAGGTGGATTTTGTTGAACCTGTAGGAAAGAAAATCTAAAGACTTTCATAGGCTTAATAAAATTTAGTTGGCCATAATATATTATCTAGAAATTCTATGATCCTCTCCCTGCACATCCCTGCAATGGACTCTGGTTCTGTGGGTAGGGGCATGCAGGGAACAGATTGTGGCTCTGTCCTGGGCCCTGGCCCTGTTCTTTCACTACCCGGTGATCTTGAAATCCAGTCCCACTGGCCTGTCCTGCTCATGCCACTTCTTGCGGCCCCATCCCATCCATGTGACCTGCTGACACGGGTCCCGGCCAGTCTCTGTGGAGATCCCAGGATCTCTGCAGTGACAGTGCAGGGCTGGTGCCCAGGGCAGAGCCACAATCTGCTCCCTGGCTGCAGAACCAGTGCCTGTTGCAGAGATTTGTGGGGAGCGGATCATGGCTCGGCCCCACCCCGGCCCTGTGTTGTCATGGCCCCAATCCCAGCCCTGGCCCCGCTGGCCTGTTCTGCTCCGAGATGCCACTCGTAGCCCACCTGAGGCCCCATCCAGCCATGGGCAGAGCAGAACCATTTGGGACGTTTTGGTGAGCTGTTGAGGGGGGGCAGGGGGCGTGTATTGCTAACCCAGCCTATGACAGCTCACCAGTACAAGCAGTGTTCTTTTGCTCAGACTCTGGGATCTAGGGACTCGGTTTTGGGACTACTGATATCAATTTTTGTTGACGTTGTAGGCTCTGACAAATCTCCTTGGGCTCAGTCATTTTAGTTGCGTGTTCCTGAGGGTACTCTTTGGAAAGTGATGGTGAATGCCTCAATAGCAGAGGTATCAGACTGGTAGGGCTGGTGAGGACCGTAGGAGGTCATCTAATCCATTTCTTACTCAAGGGTGGATCACCTCTGTCCCTCTCGTTCTAAAAAAGTGTACATCTAACCTCTTAACTTGTAAGAGTGAGATGATAAACTCGAATGTGTTTTTAGTCTGTGTTGTAGGGAGTATGGATTTGTATAGGTGCATGGCTAAATGATGTTTGTTGTAGTTCTTTCTGACTGCTATATTTCTCACATAATATCTATGCATTTCAGTGTCTTGTTGGGACTTCTGTAAGCACCAGTAGACCTTCCATGTGAATTTTCTTGGAAAATGTTGGTGCTCCC